ATATATATATATATATATATATATATATATATATATATATATATATATATATTATCTGTATATTATATTCGGTACATATCCAGCTGTAAATTTAGTTCATAAAACTAGTGATCTCTATATTATATTCATTATTTATAATAGTATTCATCTCTATGCTCATTCAGTAGAAACCATGTCCTGTATTTATGGAACCATTATTTATCCTGCACTTGCTGCTGTTGCACTTCTGGTTAGACCTAAACTGCATTTCGTTGCCTTCTACCTGCACCTGAAATGACAATAAAGTTGAATCTAATCTAATCTAAAATATTTAGCTTTGCACGAAACAACCTGTATTCTATTAATACCACTGAAAGAAAAAACGTCACAACTTGACACAACAAAACAAATTAGCGTTACAGCAGCGACGACTGAATAGAAATACGCCACCCAAAAGAAATTCATACACTGCTGAATTCAAGCTGACAGTAATTAACTTTTACATGTACGCCTTTAAAGGTACTGATAGTATTTATGATAGTAGTGATGATATTAAAAAACTAGAGTAGGCGACAGGGCAACTGGCACGTCATCGCTGCTTTTCAGATACTCGTTCATGAAATAAAACAATGTGGTTTCGAGCAGTAGCCGACCACGCGCTGGTTATCTGAACACGGATCCATGGATAGAATAACCTTTGTAAAAGGTGCAACTTTTAGTCCGGTGTGACGCATCTTCATAATGCATTTCTTGGATAATGTGACCTAAACTCCGGAGCGACGTATTGTCTGAAAAATACGGTACATATGTCCAACGACAGCCTAACTTATGCATAACGCACGGCAGCGTAATGCCCATCAAATGATGCATAAACATCATTTGATGGCTAAATCGTCAAGGTGTGACAGGCTTTAGAATCTAGGCTGTGTTAAACCTGGTCCATACTTTGTTTATAAAGTCAAGTAATAAATGCAGACATGTGGAAACTTATGGAGAGGGAAGTAAATCTGTTTCCTTTCTCCGTGTCTCTGTTCAGATAAATTCTCCGCGTCGTCTCCCTCTGAAAGGCTGTGGAAAGGTGGTTCAGGCAGCGTGTGGAGGGACCCAGGTGGCTGTTCTCAACGGTGAGTCCACTAATCGATCATTTCTGTTTCCTATGATGGAAATATTCTGCTTCAACGTTTCTGAAACCTTTGAACTCTTTCAGAGAAGGGACAGGTGTTTGTTTGGGGCTACGGCATTCTGGGAAAAGGTCCAAAGCTATCAGAGTCTTCGTCCCCAGAGATGATTCCCTCCAGTCTGTTCGGACGCTCCGAGTTCAGCCCGTCTGTGGCGGTGGTCCAGATCCGGTGCGGCCTCAGCCATTTTGCAGCAGTGACAGGTGAGACTCAGCTCCCATCATCCTCAGGAATATATATATATATATATATATATATATTAGGGCTGCAACAACGAATCGATAAAATCGATAAAAATCGACTTTTAAAAGCGTTGGCAACGAATTTCATCATCGATTAGTTGTGTCGCGCGATTAATGCGTCATCCGCCGCCGTCGTCATTGCCGTGTGGCGCCTCCCCCATCCCAACCCCGTTCTCCCGCAGGAGTCCCTCTCAGCGCTGCAGTCAGAGCCGCAGGATGTTTACCCTCCGCGTCCAGACTGCAAATGAAGCGCACATGCGCCGGGATTGACGTCGCAAATTGATCACAATATTTAAAATATCCTGCGCTTTGTAAAGCGAAAAAAGTCGTAACATGCAACTTTTGTAAAAACAAATGAACATGGCACGGAAGCACCACTGTTATGATGCAGCAGCAGCACCTGAAAAGGAAACACGTTGGAGCCTTTAATGGCAGAGAAGAGAGCTGATCAGCAGGATGAGTAAC